ATCATCAACAAGGGACAGAACTAGCATAACTCCCTCTAGGGTGTTTTAGGTCAGAATAGATGTTCTGACTGTGTATATGTCCACTCTCAGGTTCTGTTCTACGTGTCTCCAGTCAACAGGCTAGTAGGAGCTCTGATGACAGTACTGTCACTGTTCCCAGGTGAGAGTCCACACTCACGCGTCCCAAATGGCACCCTATTCCCTATAATGCAGTAGTGTGCTACTTTTTGGTCATATCCCTATGGGTGATAATAGTGAATATGGGTGTCATTTGGTACACACACGTTGTTGGATTCTTCTTCCCCCATATTGAAGGTCAAAGGTCACGTTGAGTCCTATAGGTCAGGATGTCATGTATGCTGTGTTCCTTCCTCTAGGTATGATAGAGCACGGCCTGGCTGACTCCTCCTACTACCGGCCCAAGAGCAGCGTCTCCGAGGATATCAGTCTGGTAGACTGTGTGTCGAGGGCCGAGGAGTTCGTCTCCGTCACTGACATCACCAACGCTACCATGGAGCTAGTGGGGGATGAGGGCCGAGGAGAGGACCAGATCACCTCCACCACCATGAAGGCCTCACAGAGGACATCGCCTTCCCCAGAGACCTCCACCCCAGCTAGGGAGAACACCCACCTGAAGCCCCCCTCCCGGACCTCCCCGGACTCCTCGGAGAGCGACTGGGAGACACTGGACCCCAGTGTGCTGGAGGAAGGGACTATAGACTCCGAGACCGGGGGTTTAGGTTTCGGGGGTTCAGGGGGCCTGGAGCACCCAGAGACGTTTGACCCGGTGACAGGTACCCCCATCACGGTGCAACCTCGGGGCCTGTCAGCAGGGCCAGGGGGCCAGGGAGTCGTCACTCAGGGCTTGGTGTCTGGGCTGGAAGAGGATCAGTATGGCCTGCCACTCGCCATCTTCACCAAGGTACCTAACTCAACACAGAGCCATTCAGCGTATACTTAGAAAGCTCTTTATCTGTATATCTGTCTCTCTGTATATCTGTCTCTCTGTATATCTGTCTCTCTGTATATCTGTCTCTCTGTATAGCTGTCTCTCTGTATATCTGCTGTCTCTCTGTATATCTGTCTCTCTGTATATCTGTCTCTCTGTCTCTCTGTATATCTGTCTCTATGTATATCTGTCTCTCTGTATATCTGTATATCTGTCTCTCTGTCTCTCTGTATATCTGTCTCTCTGTATATCTGTCTCTCTGTCTCTCTGTATATCTGTCTCTCTGTATATCTGTCTCTCTGTCTCTCTGTATATCTGTCTCTCTGTATATCTGTCTCTGTATATCTGTCTCTCTGTATATCTGTCTCTCTGTATATCTGTCTCTCTGTATATCTGTCTCTCTGTATAGCTGTCTCTCTGTATAGCTGTCTCTCTGTATAGCTGTCTCTCTGTATATCTGTCTCTCTGTATATCTGTCTCTCTGTATAGCTGTCTCTCTGTATATCTGTCTCTCTGTATATCTGTCTCTCTGTATATCTGTCTCTCTGTATATCTGTCTCTCTGTATATCTGTCTCTCTGTATATCTGTCTCTCTGTATATCTGTCTCTGTATATCTGTCTCTCTGTATATCTGTCTCTCTGTATATCTGTCTCTCTGTATATCTGTCTCTCTGTATAGCTGTCTCTCTGTATAGCTGTCTCTCTGTATATCTGTCTCTCTGTATATCTGTATATCTGTCTCTCTGTATAGCTGTCTCTCTGTATATCTGTCTCTCTGTATATCTGTCTCTGTATATCTGTCTCTCTGTATATCTGTCTCTCTGTATATCTGTCTCTCTGTATAGCTGTCTCTCTCACCATCAACCATCACCTGCTTTTTTAATTATTCACTTACATGTTGCCGAGGCAACAGCCAACTGATCTAGCTTTCCTAGGGTGGGGGTTGATCTTTCCTCTGAAGTTAAAGGGTGGGGGTTGATCTTTCCTCTGAATTTAAAGTGTGGGGGTTGATCTTTCCTCTGAATTTAAAGGGTGGGGGTTGATCTTTCCTCTGAATTTAAAAGGTGGGGGTTGATCTTTCCTCTGAATTTAAAGGGTGGGGGTTGATCTTTCCTCTGAATTTAAAGGGTGGGGGTTGATCTTTCCTCTGAATTTAAAGGGTGGGGGTTGATCTTTCCACTGAAGTTAAAGGGTGGTGGTTGATATTTCCTCTGAAGGTAAAGGGTGGGGGTTGATCTTTCCTCTGAATTTAAAGGGTGGGGGTTGATCTTTCCTCTGAATTTAAAGGGTTGGGGTTGATTTTTCCTCTGAATTTAAAGGGTGGGGGTTGATCTATTATTCATCACAGAAAAGCATCCTGATATCTAGATTTAAGCTAAACCCTGTCATAAACCCAAATGTCAGTTAGTCAGGTATTTGCGTTTCAAAACGCCCACACATCAAATTATGATAATAGTGGTGTGGTGACTAGTGGGTGAGAGGAGGGAGGAGTTGTTCTAGTACTACAAGGACACACACACACACACACACACACACACATGCAAGCGCTGCTTTTCCAGTACTACAAGGGGAAAAAAGTCAGTTTAGTCACCAAGGAGGATTTCATAACACTATGGCAAACATTAACCCAATACAAACAACATATAATGGTGTTACTGTAACCTGTTTGCTGTTGGGTGTGTCCTTTCCCTGACTAGATCTCGAACTGTACACACACACACACACATAAATTAGTGACCTTTAACCTGTATGTGTGTCGTTGCCAGGGTTACCTGTGCCTGCCCTACATGGCCTTGCAGCAGCACCACCTGCTGTCAGACATCACGGTGCGCGGCTTTGTCGCCGGGGCAACCAACATCCTCTTCCGGTCAAGCAGAGGCACCTAAGTGACGCGACGTGACGTGAGTGGGCGCGCCCGCTCTCTTCATCGGCCAGAGAAGAGAGAGGATCTCGACGCAGGGCAGTGAGGACAGGAGAGAGCGACAAGAGAGAGAAGGCCCAGCAGCGAGAGCAGAGAGAGAGAAGGGCGAAAGGGGCGCCGCCGAGAAAGCCGAGCGGAGGCGCGGCAAGAGAGCGCAGGCGAGAAGGAGAGGAGCGAAAAGAGAGGCAGGAGCGAGCAGGAGAAAAGAGACGAAGAGAGAAAGGAGAGAGCGGAGGAAAGAGAGAAGAGCGAGAAGGGAGAGAAAGAGAGAGAAGGAGAAGAAAAGAGCGAAAGAGCGAGCGAGAGACGAGAGAGCAGAGCAAGAAGAGAAAGGAGAGCAGAGAGAGAGACGCGAGGAGAGAGAAAGGAGAGCGCACGAGAGAGAGCGAGAGCGAGGAGAAGGAGCGAGAGACGGAAGCGAGAGGAAGAGAGAGAAACGAGCAGCGGAAGACTGAGCGAACAAGTAGCAGAAGACGATGAAAGCGACGGCAGAAGTAGAGCAAGGAATACACTGCTGAGCTGCAAGCAGTACGATCCATGACGCAGAAGAGGATCAGCGAGGCTCAGTGAGACGACGAGGAAACGGAGCCCGACATGCATGAGCTGCAACGACTCGACATGGCGCTTAGAAGGCAATCAATGATCCAGCGTAGTCTAGAAGAGGTGGCTGGTCGTCCTGAGCTCATGTGCGGAAGGTGTACCGTATGCTTCATTCTATCTCCATCCTCCTATCCCATGACTCTCAGTCCGTTGTCCACCCAGTCACCTGTCATGCTTTTATTGTCTGCAGTCCTAGCGATGGCTATGTTACGCTATAATTTGCCGTGTGCTATCGGGCCTTTAAACACATGGCACTTATTGCAAGAGTAGGGGTGTTAACCCCGGTGTCCTGGCTATGTTAACCCCGGTGTCCTGGCTAAGTTAACCCCGGTGTCCTGGCTAAGTTAACCCCGGTGTCCTGGCTATGTTAACCCCGGTGTCCTGGCTAAGTTCCCAATCTGGCCCTTATACCATCATGGCCACCTAATCATCCCCAGCTTCCAATTGGCTCATTCATCCCCCTTCCTCTCACCTGTAACTATTCCCCAGGTCGTTGCTGTAAATGAGAATGTGTCCTCAGTCAACTTACCTGGTAAAATAAAAAAACTCTCCATATCTTCTCGCTCCATATATTCTCTCTCCATCTCTTCTCTCAATTTATTGGCATGTGAAACATATTATGTTTACATTGCCAAAGCAAGTGAAATAGACAGGAAATAAACAAGGGAAATAAACAATGACCTGAACAGTAAACATTACACTCACAACCATTTAACATAATATAGACATTTCAAATGTTATATTATTGTCTATGTGTAAGTAGTTGAAGTATGAAAGGCAAAATAAATAAACATTAATATAGGTTGTATTTAAAATGGTGTTTGTTCTTCACTGGTTGCCCTTTTCTTGTGGCAACCAGGTCACAAATATTGCAGCTGTGATGGCACACTGTGGTTTTTCACCCAGTAGATAAGGGAGTTTATCAAAATTGGGTTTGTTTTCGAATTCTTTGTGGGTGTGTGTAATCTGAGGGAAATATGTGTCTCTGATATGGTCATACATTTGGCAGGAGGTTAGGAAGTGCAGCTCAGTTTCCACCTCATTTTGTGGGCAGTGTGCACATAGCCTGTCTTCTCTTGAGAGCCAGGTCTGCCTACGGCGGCGTTTCTCAATAGCAAGGCTATGCTCACTGAGTCTGTACATAGTCAAAGCTTTCCATAAGTTTGGGTCAGTCACAGTGGTCAGGTATTCTGCCACTGTGTACTCTCTGTTTAGAGCCAAATAGCATTCTAGTTTGCTCTGTTTTTTTGTTGATTCTTTCTAATGTGTCAAATAGTTATATTTTAGTTTTCTCATGATTTAGTTGGGTCTAATTGTGTTGCTGTCCTGGGGCTCCGTGGGGTCTGTTTGTGTTTGTGAGGAGAGTCACCGTACCAGCTGGCAGAGGGGACTCTTCTCCAGGTTCATCTCTCTGTAGGTGAGGGCTTTGTTATGGAAGGTTTGAGAATCACTTATTTTTAGGTGGTTGTGACTTTAATTGCGCTTTTCTGGATTTTGATAATTAGCGGGAATTGTCCTAATTCTGCTCTGCATGCATTGTAGCTCAATTGGTAGAGCACGGCGCTTGTAACGCCAGGGTAGTGGGTTTGATCCCCGGGACCACCCATACATAAAAATTTATGCACACATGACTGTAAGTCGCTTTGGATAAAAGCGTCTGCTAAATGGCATATTATATTATATTATATTATATTATATTATATACATGGAGGGTAATTTTGCAGAATTTTGCATGCAGATTCTCAATTTGGTGTTTGTCCCATTTTGTGAATTCTTGGTTGGTGAGTAGATCCCAGACCTCACAACCATAAAGGACAATGGGTTCTATAACTGATTCAAGTATTTTAAGCCAGATCCTAATTGGGATGTCAAATTTTATGTTCCTTTTGATGGCATAGAAGGCCCTTCTTGCCTTGTCTCTCAGATCGTTCACAGCTTTGTGGAAGTTACCTGTGGCGCTGATGTTTAGGCCGAGGTATGTATAGTTTTTTTGTTTGCTATAGGGCAATGGTGTCTAGATGGAATTTGTATTTACGGTCCTGGCAACTGGACCTCTTTTGGAACACCATTAGTTTTGTCTAACTGAGATTTACTGTCAGGGCCCAGGTCTGACAGAATCTGTGCAGAAGATCTAGGTGCTGCTGTATTTTGTATTTATTTGTATTTATTAGGGATCAGCTACTCTTCCTGGGGTCCAAACATATTAAAACACTTACATTACATATAATACAAAAGATAAAACAGTACATCATATAACATTATTACACCACTACATATCTACAATACAAAATGTTTAATACCACCATACAACAATATCACAATGTGTGCGTATGCATGTGTCTATACCTTTGTGTGTGTCTCTTCACAGTCCCCATTGTTCCATAAGGTGTATTTTTACCTGTTTTTAAAATCTGATTCTACTGCTTGCATCAGTTACCTGATGTGGAATAGAGTTCCATGTAGTCATGGCTCTATGTAGTACTGTGGGCCTCTCATAGTCTGTTCTGGACTTGGGGACTGTGAAGAGACCTCTGTTGGCATGTCTTGTGGGGTATGCATGGGTTTCCGAGCTGTGTGATAGTAGTTTAAACAGACTTCTCGGTACAGTCAGCTTGTTAACACCTCTTACAAAAACAAGCAGTGATGAAGTCAATCTCTCTTCCACTCTAAGCCAGGAGAGACTGACATGCATGTCGTTAATGTTAGCTCTCCGTGTACTTTTAAGGGTCAGCCGTGCTGCCCTGTTCTGAGCCAACTGCAATTTTCCCAAGTCCCTCCTTGTGGCACCTGACCACACAACTGAACAGTAGTCTAGGTGCGACAAAACTAGGGCCTGTAGGACCTGCCTTGTTGATAGTGTTGTTAAGAAGGCAGAGCAACGCATTATTATGGACATACTTCTCCCCATCCTATCTACTGTTGTATCAATATGCTTTGACCATGACAGTCTAAAATCCAGGGTTACTCCAAGCAGTTTAGTCACCTCAACTTGCTCAATTTCCACATGATTCATTACGAGATGTAGTTGAGGTTTAGGGTTTAGTGAATGATTTGACCCAAATACAATGCTTTTAGTTTTTTTTTATATTTAGGACTAACTAATTCCTTGCCACCCATTCCGAAACTAACTGCAACTCTTTAAGTGTTGCAGTTATTGCAGTTGCAGTAGTAGCTGACGTGTATAGTGTTGAGTCATCCGCATACATAGACACACTCGCTTTACTCAAGGCCAGTGGCATGTCATTAGTAAAGATGGAAAAAAGTAAGGGCCATAGACAGCTGCCCTGGGGAATTCCTGATTCTACCTGGATTATGTTGGGGAGGCTTCCATTAAAGAACACCCTCTGTGTTCTGCTAGACAGGTAGCTCTTTATCCACAATATAGCAGGGGGTGTAAAGCCACAACACATACGTTTTTCCAGCAACAGACTATGATCGATAATGTCAAAAGCCGCACTGAAGTCTAACAAAACAGCCCCCACAATATTTTTATCATCAATTTCTCTCAGCCAATCATCAGTAATTTCTGTAAGTGCTGTGCTTGTTGAATGTCCTTCTCTATAAGCATGCTGAACGTTTGTTGTCAATTTGTTTACTGTAAAATAGCATTGTATCTGGTCAAACACAATTATTTCCAATAGTTTACTAAGGGTTGGTAACAGGCTGATTGGTCGGCTGTTTGAGCCAGTAAAGGGTGCTTTACTATTCTTAGGTAGCGGAATGACTTTTGCTTCCCTCCAAGCCTTGGGGCACACACATTCTAGTGGGCTTAAATTGAAAATATGGCAAATAGGAGTGGCAATATCGTCCGCTATTATCCTCAGCAATTTTCCATCCAAGTTGTCAGACCCCGGTGGCTTGTCATTGTTAATAGACAACAATAATTTGTTCACCTCTCCTCTCCACACTCTCTACACTCACTTTACGGAATTCAAAATTACACAATGCTTCTCTTTCATAATTTGGTCAGATGTACTTGGATGTGTAGTATCAGCAATTGTTGCTGGCATGTCATGCCTAAGTTTGCTAATCTTGCCAGTGAAAAAAATATTAAAGTAGTTGGCAATATCAGTTGGTTTTGTGATGAATGCGCAATCTGATTCAATGAATGATGGAGCTGAGTTTGCCTTTTTTTCCAACATTTCATTTAAGGTGCTCCAAAGGTTTTTACTATCATTCTTTATGTCATTTATCTTTGTTTCATAGTGTAGTTTCTTCTTCTTTTTATTCAGTTTAGTCACATGATTTCTCAATTTGCAATACGTTTGCCAATCGGTTGTGCAGCCAGACTTATTTGCCATTCCTTTTGCCTCATCCCTCTCAACCATACAATTTTTCAATTCCTCATCAATCCACGGGGATTTAACTGTTTTTACAGTCATTTTCTTAATGGGTGCATGCTTATTAGTAACTGGAATAAGCAATTTCATAAATATGTCAAGTGCAGTGTCTGTTTGCTCCTCATTACACACCACGGACCAACAAATATTATTTACATCAACAACATAGGAATCACTACAAAACGTATTGTATTACCTCTTATGCACTATATTAGGCCCAGCCTTTGGAACTTTGGTTTTCCTAGATATGGCTACTATATTGTGATCACTACATCCAATTGATTTGGATACTGCTTTCAAACAAATCTCTGCAGCATTAGTAAAGATATGATCAATACATGTTGATGATTTTAATTCCTATACTGTTGGGAACTACCCTGGTAGGTTGACTGATAACCTGAACCAGGTTGCAGGCACTGGTTACAGTTTGAAGCTTTCTCTTGAGTGGGCAGCTTGATGAAAGCCAGTCAATATTTAAATCACCCAGAAAGTATACCTCTCTATTGATATTGATATTTACATTTTAGTCATTTAGCAGATGCTCTTATCCAGAGCGACTTACAGGAGCAATTAGGGTTAATTGCCTTGCTCAAGGGCACATCGACAGATTTTTCACCTAGTCGGCTCGGGGATTAGAACCAGCAACCTTTCGGTTACTGGCACAATGCTCTTAACCACTAAGTTACCTGCCGCCGATATCACATACATTATCAAGCATTTCACACGTTATCCAGATACTGACTGTCAGCACTTGGTGGTCTATAGCAGCTTCCCACCAGAATTGGCTTTAGGTGAGGCAGATGAACCTGTAGCCATATTACTTCAACAATATTTAACATGAGATCCTCTCTAATCTTCACAGGAATGTGGTTCTGAATATAAACAGCAACACCTCCACCATTGGCTTTTCTGTAAATGTTATAACCTTGTATTGCTACAACTGTATCATCAAAGGTATTATCTAAGTAAGTTTCAGAGTCAGAATATAAATGTAATCTGTTACTAGCAAATTATTGATTTCATGAACCTTGTTTCTTAAGCTACATATGTTAACGTGGGCTATTTTGAGCACTTTTCTTCTGGGATGCTTACTTGTTTTTATTGCTTTATTGGGAAGCTTAGCAGCAGTAGATGTGCTCATGTTCTTTATGTTAGTGCAGGGTGAGCTGCACACAGTGGACTTCCTCCTCAGGCACACCGGCTCAGTGCTAACAGTATAAATCTGGTTCTTAGGCACATGATTACTGCATACAATAGCTGTAGGATCAGCAGAGGCATTCAGGGCAGTTAGAGGGACATAAATTAGGTTACTTATATTGTGTTTACCGGCGCCCCTGATGTAATGAACATTTGCTGAAGCATTTTGACAACTGTGTCACAAAGGTAGGGATTAGCTAAGCTGGGCTTGGGTCATTGCTAAGTCATTGTCTCAACGCAGCCTTATAATGCTGTGAAAGGATCCAGGAACCCAAATGATTTGGGTGGATCCCATCCTCCTTATAAAACGTGTTTTGTTTCCAAAAGGTATCGAAATTGTCAACAAAAGTTACACCCATTGAGCTGCAATAATCACATAGCCAGTTGTGAAGAACAAGAATCCTGCTAAAGCATTCAATGCCACGATTCAGAGAGGGCACAGGGCCAGATATGATGGGTTTTTTGTTAGTATCTAGCAGAGCTCTTTAAAATCCAGTTTCAACTGTTCAGAGCTGCCCTTTGTAATGTCATTAAAACGTAGTACATTCGGGAGCAGCTTAGTAATGTCATTTACCCGAGCTCCGGGATAGGACATTGTTTTTGCACCAGGAACGGTCACATTTCTTACCATGGAGCTGCCCAAAATCACGGCTGGGGAGAAGGATGAGGAAATCCGCCCATTCCCACGCTTCACAGGATGCAGGCCTCCGACAGATGGAGAAGCCCCGCTCGATCCAGAGCAGGGACAGAAAGTTGCCGATGTCAACTTCGAAATCGTAGTAGTAAGCACTGCGGCCGCAGACACAGGCACCCCCAGCAACGAAGGTGCAGGAAGATCAGGCTCTAGTACGGCGAAACTACTCGTTGTTTGTATCCGCTCCGGGCCTCTCGTTGGGAGTGTAGACTGCTTTGCGGGAGGTCGCTGTCTTCGGCTCCACGGCTCATGACATGCGACCATCGTTGATTGCTTTTCTCCTTATGATGTGCTCCTTCGACGGCGCTATCAGATGGGGGAGCACCGGGCAACACCGGCCAGTCGGATAATGACCAACGACAAGGCGGAGATGCATCCAACAAGCGCGAACGCCATCCAGCCACTGGTGTAGAAAATGTAAACATTCCACTCTGCGTTTTCCCCAGTTTCTTACGTAGGCTGGCGACCTGCGTGATCAAGGAAGCCACCTCAAGCCTATTATCCTCGGCAACTCCGAGTGTTCCCGTTTGTCTCAAAACAAAGCGTAATAGATACAGCTCATACAGCGTTGGAACCGTTCATTTTTCTCCAGACAAAGAGGGCTCCATTGCAAAACTCATCTGGTACCAACTTCGTTAGCTTGATGGCTAGCAGCTTAGCGTCTCTGTCAAGCAGGCTTAAACCTGTCTTTTTAAACGGGATTCCGGGACAAGAAATAGCGGCCCTAGCTGTTAAAAGCTAACCGCGTTGTGGAATCCACGCAAAAACAAGTTATGTATTCGTATTTATGAATAGCATTTTTGTTTTTATCAAAAATAACAAACCAAGTATTTTCCAGCATACAATATTCAGCTGTGCACTCTGATGACGTCAACATGTATATCCTCTGGGAGCGTTGTGGTGTTGGAGCGACAGACGGACATCTCATCTCCTTGGTTGTAGGCCCTCCTTGGTTATCGACAGAAGCACCAGATAATCAGCAAACAGTAGACATTTGACTTCAGATTCTAGTAGGGTGAGGCCGGGTGCTGCAGACTGTTCTAGTGCCCTCGCCAATTCATTGATATACTGTATATATGTTGAAGAGGGTGGGTCTCAAGCTGCATCCTTGTCTCACCCCACGGCCCTGAGGAAAGAAATCTGTGTTTTTTGCCAGTTTTAACCGCACACTAGTTGTTTGTATACATGGATTTTATAATGTTGTATGTTTTCCCCCCAACACCACTTTCCATCAATTTATACAGCAGACCCTCATGCCAAATTGAGTCAAAAGCTTTTTTGAAATCAACGAAGCATGAGAAGACTTTGCTTTTTGTTTGTTTGTCAATAAGGGTGTGCAGGGTGAATACGTGGTCTGTCGTACGGTAGTTTGGTAAAAGGCCAATTTTGATATTTGCTCAGTACATTGTTTTGACTGAGGAAATGTACGAGTCTGCTGTTAATGATAATGCAGAGGATTTTCCCAAGGTAGTTATTGGGGTCAAATTTGTCTCCACTTTTGTGGATTGGGGTGATCAGTCCTTGGTTCCAAATATTGGGGAAGATGCCAGAGCTGAGGATGATGTTTAAGAGTTAATTAGCCAATTGAAATTTGTGGTCTGTATATTTTATCATTTAATTTAGGATACCATCAACACCACAGGCCCTTTTGGGTTGAAGAGTTTGTATTTTGTCCTGTAGTTCCTTCAATTTAATTGGAGAATCCAGTGGGTTCTGGTAGTCCTTAATAGCTAACTAAGATTTTTAATTGATCATGTATATATTTTTGCTGTTTGTTCTTTGTTATAGAGCCAAAAAGATTGGAGAAGTGGTTTATCCATACATCTCCGTTTTGGATAGATAACTCTTTATGTTGTTGTTAGTTTAGTGTTTTCCAATGTTCCCAGAAGTGGTTAGATTCTATGGATTCTTCAATTACATCTCTCTCCATCTCTTCTTTCTCCTGGGTCCAGTGGGCCCCAAATGTGCATTATACTAAGGTTGTGTCCCAAATGTGTATTTGTATTTATTATGGATCCCCATTAGCTGCTGCCAAGGCACTCTATCCCCTACACATAGTGTAGTAATTTTGACCAGAGTTACAGATTTTGACTGGGTTACAAATGTTATCATATCCTTCCTTTTCCATCAGTGTTTTCTTGTGTTTAACTCTCCCATGTGTATGCCATGTTTATGCCTGCCTTTCAGATTTGAACTCTTTTTTTTCCCATGTATCTTGAGTTATTGAGTGCTTTGTGTTCTGTCTGTCTGTGTGTGTGTGTGTGCACGTGTGTGTGTGTGCGTGTGCGTGTGTCCATCCTACTAGGTGGAGGAGGCTAAGATCCAGATTGGGGACCCTGAGTTGAGGAGGCTGCTAGGCCTGACCACGGCTGACCTGCGTTTCGCTGACTACCTGGTCAAACACGTGACAGAGAACCGTGAGGACGTGTTTCTGGATGGGACCGGCTGGGAGGGAGGGGACGAGTGGATCAGGGCCCAGTTTGGACTCTACATACACTCCCTACTTTCATCCACCTTGCAAGAAGGTATTGCACTTGCAAGGATTCGATTTTTACAGTTTTTCATCAGCAATCATCTTCTATTCGACCCCTCATTGAAATGGATCTACTCAAACTAATATTCTATTTTTTCCGGTTTTCTATGATTTCCTTAGCACAGCTCTGAACTTGGTTACTAATCTTTCCCTCACTCAGTCTATAGATTAATATCTGATTCGCACAGAGAAAAGCATTTGTTTCAGAGGATTTCACAACAAAATGCTGTGTGTGTGTCTGTGTGTGTCTGTGTGTCTGTGTGTCTGTGTCTGTGTGTCAAGATAATGAGAAGTTGCTAGCGGACTGGGGCGCTCCCTTCATCTCTGCCTGGAGGATCACACACAACTACAGAGTGTGGTTCATCAACAACCACCCAGCCATGGCCGATATCACCCCAGGGTAAGAGAGACATTCTGGGGGTAGTAGAGTCTCTGGCTGAGATCACCCCAGGGTAAGAGAGACATTCTGGGGGTTGTAGAGGTTCTGGATGTGGTAGCTGGGCGTAGTCTCTGGCCGATATCACCCCAGGGTAAGATGGAACCCTATTCACTGCCCTATAATGGGAGGTGGTAGCTGGCTGTTGCATTGGTCATCTTTAGTGCCTTCTAAATGAAAAATATGTGGACGTTTTGACTTGGATAAATAACGTGTGTTATTTCCTCTTTTCTCAGCCATCCGTTCCAAGGACAGTACAGTGCTGCTGATCTGAAATTAAGGTTTTCACAGTGAGTACTTCAGTCTTCATTGAAATCTATTGATTATCGTTATACCTATCTGTAATAGAGGGTATATCACACAATGTAATCATTGACATGACAATCTCACAAAAACATGCAGATTTCTGCACCCCCCCAGTGGTGAAGTTTGGTAGTTTATATACCAGGTAGAATGTGGCATAATGCAGATTCATCATAAAAAATACATTTTCACTGCTTCTCTATGCCTTGCTATTTCCAAGTACTGAAAAAAAGGCTGTGGCCTATTCCATCAACTCAGTGGCGTTGTGGTTAGTGTCAGCCCTAAGATTGGAAGGATGGGAGTTTGATCCCCGGCTGAGTCATACCAAAGAATGTAAAAATGGGACCCAATGTGTCTCTACTTGGCACTCAGCATTAAGGGGATAGATTGGGGGTAAGGCCTTACGATAGACTACAGTCCTGTCCAGGGGGTGTATTCTACAGAAACAGGAGGTAGATTGGGGGTAAGGCCTTACGATAGACTACAGTCCTGTCCAGGGGGTGTATTCTACAGAAACAGGAGGTAGATTGGGGGTAAGGCCTTACGATAGACTACAGTCCTGTCCAGGGGGTGTATTCTACAGAAACAGGAGGTAGATTGGGGGTAAGGCCCTACGATAGACTACAGTCCTGTCCAGGGGGTGTATTCTACAGAAACAGGAGATAGATTGGGGGTAAGGCCCTACGATAGACTACAGCCCTGTCCAGGGGGTGTATTCTACAGAAACAGGAGGTAGGCTCCTACTCCTATGAGCCATTCCCACTCGCACAAGCCAAGGTTACTTCCTTACTTATGAGATGAGCAGAGATGTCCACAAGTCCAAGTCGACTCTTTTGAGGGAAGTTGAAGTCAAGTCATATTGTTGAGGACCAGCAGGTATAAATCAGGGTAAATGAATGAAAACCAATGTTTTTCCCTCAGTGTGTAGACCTAGACCAGGGATTAAGCAAATCAACCTGCCATCTTGCTAAATTGTATTCAGAGTGAAGTGGGAATATGAATCCCAAACAAAGTGGACATCCCGACTGCTCCAACACAGCACCATGATGTCACTAACTCCTTATATATTGACCATATTCTAAACTGGGATAAAGGAATGAGAGGCCTGCACACAGAATATAGCTGATTCCCAGTGATGGATCCCTGCACCTAAATATACTGTACATTACATATACTACATTTCTACCTAATCTGTATCCGTTTTTAGCCCAGCACCGGTAGTCTCAAGTTTAGGATGGGCCTATCGCCCTCCCTTCCTCCATGTTCTAAACTCCGTCTTCTAAACTTCATGTTCTTCTGTAACATAGCAAGGTGCCATGTTTCACTGCAATCACACGTGATTTCACAGAGTACTAAGCTACTAATAACTGTGCTCTGCTTGTGATGGTGGTAAAGAAAGACACCAGGTCTCATATTTTGCTCCGTCCATTAATTATGACAGAGGCGGGGTGCTTGGGTTACGTTCCAGGAAGTGTATAGGAAATGCGATCCCGCCGTGCGTTGACTGAACCCGGGGCACCATCTCCAGCCCCGTCTCGTAAGGCTACACTCCAGACGTTTTCCCCCTACCTCCACCTTATGGCTGCGTCCCAAATGGTATCCTGTTCCCTATATAGTGCACTACTTTTGACCAGGGTCCATAGGGGATAGAATGCACTATATAGGGAATAGGGTGCCATTTGGGATGGATGCCATGAGTCTTCATCCGTAACTTCTCTATTGATAGCTTTATGGTGAGAACATGGAGAGATCTGCTTTATGGTGAGAACATGTAGAGATCTGCTTTATGGTGAGAACATGGAGAGATCTGCTTTATGGTGAGAACATGGAGAGATCTGCTTGGTGGTGAGAACATGGAGAGATCTGCTTTATGGAGAGATCTGCTTTATGGTGAGAACATGGAGAGATCTGCTTTATGGTGAGAACATGGAGAGATCTGCTTGGTGGTGATATATGGAGAGATCTGCTTTATGGTGAGAACATGGAGAGATCTGCTTTATGGTGAGAACATGGAGAGATCTGCTTTATGGTGAGAACATGGAGAGATCTGCTTGGTGGTGAGAACATGGAGAGATCTGCTTTATGGTGAGAACATGGAGAGATCTGCTTGGTGGTGATTTATGGAGAGATCTGCTTTATGGTGAGAACATGGAGAGATCTGCTTGGTGGTGAGAACATGGAGAGATCTGCTTGGTGGTGATTTATGGAGAGATCTGCTTGGTGGTGAGAACATGGAGAGATCTGCTTTATGGTGAGAACATGGAGAGATCTGCTTTATGGTGAGAACATGGAGAGATCTGCTTGGTGGTGAGAACATGGAGAGATCTGCTTGGTGGTGATATATGGAGAGATCTGCTTGGTGGTGATTTATGGAGAGATCTGCTTTATGGTGAGAACATGGAGAGATCTGCTTGGTGGTGATTTATGGAGAGATCTGCTTGGTGGTGATTTATGGAGAGATCTGCTTGGTGGTGAGAACATGGAGAGATCTGCTTTATGGTGAGAACATGGAGAGATCTGCCTGGTGGTGAGAACATGGAGAGATCTGCTTTATGGTGAGAACATGGAGAGATCTGCTTTATGGTGAGAACATGGAGAGATCTGCTTTATGGTGAGAACATGGAGAGATCTGCTTTATGGTGAGAATATGGAGAGATCTGCTTTATGGTGAGAACATGGAGAGATCTGCTTTATGGAGAGAACATGGAGAGATCTGCTTTATGGTGAGAACATGGAGAGATCTGCTTTATGGTGAGAACATGGAGAGATCTGCTTTATGGTGAGAACATGGAGAGATCTGCTTTATGGTGAGAACATGGAGAGATCTGCTTGGTGGTGAGAACATGGAGAGATCTGCTTGGTGGTGAACAGAGCAGAAAATAACTTCAGAAACTCTCTCAGAACTAAGTGAATAACTTCGATATGTTATGGATGTTTTTTTATGTGTACGTGTACGTTTTTTATGACGCTTCATAATGATAAGTATCAGGTCATTCAAAGTCCCTGCTATACTCTGATAGTGTTAGACACTGATAATCAACCTGTTGCATTACTGTAAAGGCTGCCATGCATTGGTACAGTGAGAGTTCAGGGGAGTAGCCAGGTGTGAGAAGTTTGTTGTGGAGGTGAGGTTGCTGCTACAAGGTGTGTTAGTGGAACATGATGGGGTGAGTCTCAGAAGGAACCTTATTCCCTACGTAGTACACTACTTTTGACCAGAGCCCTATTGAGTGTACAGTGCCATTTGGGTGCTGAAGGGGTGTGTGTGTGTTGTGTGTTAAATCCCCTGCACTATAAACTCTGGATATAGCAGGCTGGGTGTAGAGTCATAGGGGAAGTCCCAAATGGCACCCTGTTCCCTTCATAGTGCGCTTCCTTTGACCCATAGGGCTCTGTTAAAAAAATTAGTAGAGCACTGTGTAGGGCATTTGGGACGCATCCGTCAGGCAGGAAGTTTGGCAGTTGGCCATCTAAGCTTCTGAGGAATAAATGCAACTCATTTCCTGCCTCCAGCATTGTAGCCTGGGTTCCTTTCTACACAGGAACACTGGGGGTTTTTCAGCTTCATCTCACGATCTCCTTCCTTCCACTGTGACTGTCTTTAGATGGGTCTGAGTCATGTGTTGATTGGCATTGTGTGTGTGTGTGGCTTCCCTCCCGTCACTGACAGATGGACAAAAGAAAACACACAGCTTAGATCAGGGCAGTGTTCAGTAGGGAAAACATAGCAAACTCTTTTTCAAGGGGAAATGGACATCTGTATTCTTATTGGACAAGTCTTGGTAGTACCTTCCCATTTTTCATTCTGTTTCGAAAAATATTTTGTCCCATACTGAATATGACCCATGAGGTTCTATCTCACCACCATCTCACACAGAGGCCTGCGTGTGTGTTCCTTCCTGTCTGGACTTTCACTCTCACCTCACATGATGAATAGTGTTTGTCCAAATCTGACTTCCTGGTGAGAGAGAGTGCTGAATGTGTTGTGTAGCATCTATATCATACTGTTAGGTTGGTTCAACACAGCTCTCCTATTCATCTAGATCATACTGTTAGGTTGGTTCAACACAGCTCCCCTATTCATCTAGATCATACTGTTAGGTTGGTTCAACACAGCTCTCCTATTCATCTAGATCATACTGTTAGGTTGGTTCAACACAGCTCCCCTATTCATCTAGATCATACTGTTAGGTTGGTTCAACACAGCTCCCCTATTCATCTAGATCATACTGTTAGGTTGGTTCAACACAGCTCTCCTATTCATCTAGATCATACTGTTAGGTTGGTTCAACACAGCTTTCCTATTCATCTAGATCATACTGTTAGGTTGGTTCAACACAGCTCCCCTATTCATCTAGATCATACTGTTAGGTTGGTTCAACACAGCTCTCCTATTCATCTAGATCATACTGTTAGGTTGGTTCAACACAGCTCTCCTATTCATCTAGATCATACTGTTAGGTTGGTTCAACACAGCTCCCCTATTCATCTAGATCATACTGTTAGGTTGGTTCAACACAGCTCCCCTATTCATCTAGATCATACTGTTAGGTTGGTTCAACACAGCTCTCCTATTCATCTAGATCATACTGTTAGGTTGGTTCAACACAGCTCTCCTATTCATCTAGATCATACTGTTAGGTTGGTTCAACACAGCTCCCCTATTCATCTAGATCATACTGTTAGGTTGGTTCAACACAGCTCTCCTATTCATCTAGATCATAATGTTAGGTTGGTTCAACACAGCTCCCCTATTCATCTAGATCATACTGTTAGGTTGGTTCAACACAGCTCTCCTATTCATCTAGATCATACTGTTAGGTTGGTTCAACACAGCTCTCCTATTCATCTAGATCATACTGTTAGGTTGGTTCAACACAGCTCTCCTATTCATCTGTCCCTATATCCTCTGTAGCTCAGCTGGTAGAGCACGGCGCGTGTAACGCCAAGGTAGTGGGTTCGATCCCCGGGACCACCCATACACAAAAATGTATGCACGCATGACTGTAAGTCGCTTTGGATAAAAGCGTCTGCTAAATGGCATATTATTATTATTATTATCTTGTTGCATACAACAAGCGCTCCACTGACAGAGAGAGAGGGAGAGATTTTCTTCTTTTTTTTTTTTTTTTTTTGGAAAACAGCCACGTGACTGCATGACTTTGTGCCGGGCCTGGAGGAAGAGGACTGGAGTCCAGGGCTGGCTGCCGACCGTCGCTATGCCAACAGACAGGGGGATCTGTTTTATTGTGAGGTGTGAGCGGGCTGGACGGGGCAGGGCTGTTTATTTGGGTCAGGCAGTGTAGTGAGACAGTGATGTTTGGGCATGTCAGTCTGTCTGTGTCGGAGCTCTGGCGCTGCATTGGTATCGCGGAGAGAGAGAGAGAGAGAGAGATAGAGAGAGAGAGATCTGTGGTGTGTCACTGTGAGAGACTGAGGCTCCATACATCAGGTATAAAAGGTGCAGTGAAATGCTTACATGCAAGCTCCCTCAACATTGCAGTACAATTATCAATAATAAGTAGGGGTGTAGAATATCTCTCCTCTGGCCGGCCAGGGGCAGTAGGGGTGTAGAATATCTCTCCTCTGGCCGGCCAGGGGCAGTAGGGGTGTAGAATATCTCTCCTCTGGCCGGCCAGGGGCAGTAGGGGTGTAGAATATCTCTCCTCTGGCCGGCCAGGGGCAGTAGGGGTGTAGAATATCTCTCCTCTGGCCGGCCAGGGGCAGTAGGGGTGTAGAATATCTCTCCTCTGGCCGGCCAGGGGCAGTAGGGGTGTAGAATATCTCTCCTCTGGCCGGCCAGGGGCAGTAGGGGTGTAGAATATCTCTCCTCTGGCCGGCCAGGGGCAGTAGGGGTGTAGAATATCTCTCCTCTGGCCGGCCAGGGGCAGTAGGGGTGTAGAATATCTCTCCTCTGGCCGGCCAGGGGCAGTAGGGGTGTAGAATATCTCTCCTCTGGCCGGCCAGGGGCAGTAGGGGTGTAGAATATCTCTCCTCTGGCCGGCCAGGGGCAGTAGGGGTGTAGAATATCTCTCCTCTGGCCGGCCAGGGGCAGTAGGGGTGTAGAATATCTCTCCTCTGGCCGGCCAGGGGCAGTAGGGGTGTAGAATATCTCTCCTCTGGCCGGCCAGGGGCAGTAGGGGTGTAGAATATCTCTCCTCTGGCCGGCCAGGGGCAGTAGGGGTGTAGAATATCTCTCCTCTGGCCGGCCAGGGGCAGTAGGGGTGTAGAATATCTCTCCTCTGGCCGGCCAGGGGCAGTAGGGGTGTAGAATATCTCTCCTCTGGCCGGCCAGGGGCAGTAGGGGTGTAGAATATCTCTCCTCTGGCCGGCCAGGGGCAGTAGGGGTGTAGAATATCTCTCCTCTGGCCGGCCAGGGGCAGTAGGGGTGTAGAATATCTCTCCTCTGGCCGGCCAGGGGCAGTAGGGGTGTAGAATATCTCTCCTCTGGCCGGCCAGGGGCAATAGGGGTGTAGAATATCTCTCCTCTGGCCGGCCAGGGGCAGTAGGGAGGTATAATATCTATTTTCTGGCCGACCTGGCAAAATAGAATTGCAGTAAACTTGCTTTAAAACGTCAAAATGTTCTCTCCGCCCTATGGCAAAATGTGTCGAGTTGCAGGAAATTAACTCTTAAACGTTTTTATTTTCTCTCAGCGGCCTGTATCCTGTATGTAGTGTACTACTGTAGTACTGTGATAATGCAGTACTGTGGTACTGTAGTACTGTAGTGCTGTAGTACTGTGATACTGTAGTACTGTGATACTGTAGTACTGTGATAATGTAGTACTGTAGTACTGTGATACTGTAGTACTGTGATAATGCAGTACTGTGGTACTGTGATAATGCAGTACTGTGGTACTGTGATACTAGTGCCAACCATAGCAGGTGCCAGGTAGGGAGGGGTCACAGAGGGGGGGGGGGGGGTCACAGAGGGCACTGATGTTGACGTGGAAGGGACGACAGCTGAATTCCAAATAGACCCCTAGCCCCTACCCCCTACTCCCTAGCCCCTACCCCCTAGGCATTCCTGTAGATGTGAGAGGTTTGGATTGGTCTATGGCTAAGTAATATCGGGAAACTTCTACCAAGCCAATGCCATAAGGCTTATCTATCCTCTTCTCAATGAGGTTAATAAGAAGAGTTGATAGTTATATCTATCCAATCATTAGACCAGGACCAGTGGCCATCTTGGCACTGTAATGTTGACATGTGTGTTGACATCTGGGTGCTTTAGAAAGACAACCAGGCTGGATTTAGTTGTGTATTTGTTGTGAAATGTACCCGGGATAACATCCGGCCACTCCAGCTCAGGTTGGCTGGCTGGGTGGGATAATTAGATCCCACCACCTGTGACCGTCTCTCAACTTCTCCTTCTGTAGAGTTCTACTATAACGGGCTGTAGTAACACACACAGTGTTTAGATAGAGCACTACTGTTTGTTTCTCGGAGGAGCGGAGAAATGTCACACTGCTACCCAGGGTTTATATCTGGGTGCCACATGGTTGGTGGGTTGGTTGGTTGTGACTGAGTAGCCATTCTGTTTTCTCTCTGTGAATTTCAGCTCGGTGCAGAACAGTGAACGGGGAAAGAAGATGGGGGCAGCTGTGATCACCACCAGTCGGAGTGTTGTGCAGACTGGAAAGGCAGTAGGTGAGACAGACAATCCGACTCTCTAGCCAACCCTTCCCCAGTGAGACAGACAGACGGTCTCTCTAGCCAACCCTTCCCCAGTGAGACAGACAGACACTCTCTAGCCAACCCTTCCCCAGTGTGACAGACAGACACTCTCTAGCCAACCCTTCCACAGTGAGACAGACAGACACTCTAGCCAACCCTTCCACAGTGAGACAGACAGTCTCTCTAGCCAACCCTTTCCCAGTGAGACAGACAGACACTCTCTAGCCAACCATTCCCCAGTGAGACAGACAGACACTCTAGCCAACCCTTTCCCAGTGAGACAGACGGTCTCTCTAGCCAACCCTTCCCCAGTGAGACAGACAGACGGTCTCTCTAGCCAACCCTTCCGGCAGTGAGACAGACAGACACTCTCTAGCCAACCCTTCCCCAGTGAGACAGACGGTCTCTCTAGCCAACCCTACCCCAGTGAGACAGACAGACGGTCTCTGTAGCCAACCCTTCCACAGTGAGACAGACAATCCGACTCTCTAGCCAACCCTTCCCCAGTGAGACAGACACACTCTCTAGCCAACCCTACCCCAGTGAGACAGACAGACGGTCTCTGTAGCCAACCCTTCCCCAGTGAGACAGTCAGTCTCTCTAGCCAACCCTTCCCCAGTGAGACAGTCAGTCTCTCTAGCCAACCCTTTCCCAGTGAGACAGACAGACAGTCTATTTGTATACAGTAAATGGGGTTGCATAATTTTGATAACTTTCCCAGAATTCCTCGGTTTTCCAGAAATCCTGGTTGGAAGATTTACTGAATCAGGAGGGAATAAACAGGACATCCGGAATCCTGCAAACAAAATGTCTGGAAAACCTGGGATTCTGGGGGAAAAGTTACTGTAATTTTGCAACCCTTAACAATACAGTAGTTTATATGTAATCCCTCCTGTCTCCATCCTCCAGGTCAGTCGGTGGGTGGAGCTCTGACCAGCGCTAAGTCAGCCATGTCCTCCTGGTTCTCTATGTTGGCACAGCCAGCTACCGTACCCACGCCAGAGCCTCCGTTACCTACAGAGACCAAGCCTTGACCACCTGCCTGCCTACCTGTCCCCCTCACCCAATCTGTCTCTTCTCACAGAAGCTGAGTGTGCGGAGTGCCCCGAGTCTAGCGGGAGAGACTAGGGTTAACCTAACCCCTCTCCCCCCAACAGTCCTCCCCTGACTCTCTCAATTCATCTTTCCTTGATTTCTTGCATTCTTTATCCTCAACCTCATTGGAGAAGCAAGTCAGAGGGGAGGGATCTTGGACCGTGTCCTCCAATACGGTTGAGAAGGAGGCGTGGAGATAGGATGCGACAGCGCACTCCTCCTATCCCTCCTCTCAGAACCAGGTAGTTACAGGAGAAACTGGGTTGGGCAGAATAGGTTCCATTTGTGTGTTTTTAGGGAAGGGTTTTATTTGATGAAAAATGTGTTTGTTTCAGGCCATTGATGGGATCACAACACAACAGATGGATCCTGTCTGTGTCCCAAATGGCACCCTATTCCCTATACAGTGCACTACTTTTTTTTTTTTTTTTTCAAAAGGGAAAAAAAAAATACTTACAAAAAAAAGACTTTTATATAAAGGGAATAGATTGGCATTTGGGATGCGACCCAGGTCTGCAGCACCCTTTCCTTCTGTCGTCCCTCCCATCCACAGGTTACAACTGCTGCAGACAGACAGGGGGCAGAGAAAAATACACTTCTGTCATTCCCCAAACAGACATGTCCATGCTCAGAGCCTCATGCACTTTAGATTTGAGTGTTTTCTCTGTGTGGCGGAAGACCTTTGTGTGTTTTATCCCAGACCAGTGTTTTGCTCTAACTGTATATCAACAGGGTGTGTACTGTATATACTGACGGTCTTTAATGACAGTGTGCATCGCTGGCTGGATGCTGTTTTTAAATGTCTGCGTCAGATGGCAGCACTCCTACGCGACTCCCGTCCCTGCAGTAAGACAACGGTGTTACCGTAAATCAGCAAGACGTTGGGCCAGAGCAAGATCAGATCACTCTCAGATTGCAGAAGGACAGGAAGAGTCCCAAATGGTAGCCCTATCCCATAAATAGTGCACTACTTTTGACCAGATCCCTATGGGGTTTGGTTGGTGCCATTTGGAACATATTGTGTTTGTCATTCCTTCAGGAAAAGAAAACTGTTTTGGACACTCGTTGTATCCACCCTATCATGTTATAGTGAACTCTATACAGAGATGAAGCCTGGAGGAATATGGGATTTAAACTAATGTACAAATATATTTTTATTTTAGATTGATGTAGTTCTTTGAGCTATTCGTGTTCTGTATTATGTCATGTTTCATGTTTTCTGTGGACCCCAGGATGAGTAGCTGCTGCTATCGCTACAGCTATTGGGGATCCTAATAAAATACCAAAAAATTGTTTTTGGGACTCACACTTAATCATTGTGATTTCCCTCTTCGTCATGACAACACTGGAACCAATCTCTACTAATCTATGGACCACACCAACTATGGTGTGTGTGTGATATAGCACCCTATTCCCTAAATAGGGCACTACCTTTGACCGGTGGCTTTGGTCAAAAGTAGTGCACTATATAGGGAATAGGACGCACCTATGTGTCTGTACATAGTAAAGATGATTTATATACGGAAAACAAAGAATGTAAATGCAACATGCAACAATTTCATATGTGGAAATCAGTTAATTGAAAGAAATTCACATGACTGAGAATACAGATATGTATCTGTTAGTCACAGATAACTTAAAAAAAAATCTGTGGCATTGTGTTGTGACAAAACTGCACATTTTAGAGTAGCCTTTTATTGTCCCCCAGCACAAGGTGCACCTGTGTAATGATCATGCTGTTTAATCAGTTTCTTGATATACCACACCTGTTATGCCACACAAATGCCCACTAACAGGGATGTAAACAAATTTGTGCACAAAATTTGAGATAAATACGCTTTTTGTGCGTATGGAACATTTCTGGGATCTTCTATTTCAGCTCGTAAAACATGGGACCAACACTTTACATGTTGCGTTTATATTTCTGTTCAGTGTATATCTGTGTACTCTCTTTGTAGCCTATACTTGTCACTTTCAGATCATTACTGTAACTCTTATCTCCCCAACTGTTTGTATTTGAGATCATTACTGTATCTCTTCTCTCCCCAACTGTTTGTATTTGAGATCATTACTGTATCTCTTCTCTCCCCAACTGTTTGTATATGAGATAATTACGGTAACTGTTCTCTCTCCAACTTTTTGGATTTGAGATGCTTACTGTATCTCTTCTCTCCCCAACTGTTTGTATTTGAGATAATTACAGTAACTGTTCTCTCTCCAACTTTTTGGATTTGAGATGCTTACTGTATCTCTTCTCTCCCCAACTGTTTTGTATTTGAGATAATTACGGTAACTGTTCTCTCTCCAACTTTTTGGATTTGAGATAATTACGGTAACTGTTCTCTCTCCAACTGTTTGTATTTGAGATAATTACGGTAACTGTTCTCTCTCCAACTGTTTTGTATTTGAGATAATTACGGTAACTGTTCTCTCTCCAACTTTTTGGATTTGAGATAATTACGGTAACTGTTCTCTCTCCAACTGTTTGTATTTGAGATCATTACTGTATCTCTTCTCTCCCCAACTGTTTGTATTTGAGATCATTACTGTATCTCTTCTCTCCCCAACTGTTTGTATTTGAGATCATTACTGTATCTCTTCTCTCCCCAACTGTTTGGATTTGAGATAATTACGGTAACTGTATTTGAGATGCCATTTGAAGCTGTTGGATTACTAGTACTTTGTAACAACAGTTAGGTAGGCATGCTCTTTGAGACCATGACTGTCTGAAATTGCACCCTATTTCCTAGATAGTGAGCTACTTTTGTTTTGACTAGAGCCTATAGGTAGTGCACTAAATAGGGAATAGGTGAACCATTTTGGACACGGCTCAGGTCCAGTTTATTTAATTTTTTTACTGTAATGACGGCTGTCTGAATGATGGCCGTCTTTGTGTCGGCTGTCTGAATGATGGCCGTCTTTGTGTCGGCTGTCTGAACGATGGCCGTCTTTGTGTCGGCTGTCTGAATGATGGCCGTCTTTGTGTCGGCTGTCTGAACGATGGCCGTCTTTGTGTCGGCTGTCTGAACGATGGCCGTCTTTGTGTCGGCTGTCTGAACGATGGCCGTCTTTGTGTCGGCTGTCTGAATGATGGCCGTCTTTGTGTCGGCTGTCTGAACGATGGCCGTCTTTGTGTCGGCTGTCTGAATGATGGCCGTCTTTGTGTCGGCTGTCTGAACTTTGGACGTCCATTCCTCCTCCATTTCCTGTCATGACTTTCAAACTAAAACCTGAGTCATTCGCATTGCGTGTGTTTTAGACTGTATGCTGCATGCTTCCTTTGTTGCTTATTGAATTCTGAATATTAAGTATGAACATATTTTTGGGTTTCAGAGCCATTCCTTTTCTCTGTGTGTATTTAAAATATGAATGTATTCTAAATTGAAATTGAAAGATGCTTTTGAAGGATTTTGTTGGGGGAAACAGTTAATTTATGCTATGCTGTATTGCTGCATTAAATAAGAGAAACTGAAATAATCTCCTCTTTATCTAAAAATACAAACAAATAAAAGATGGAAATTATCATTTTTATCTAAAAACTTCTGTACCCAAAAAAGTAAACAAATGATGAAAGGAATAGTATTTTTTCCCCCTGTAAGACGGAAGAGGAAGCGAGACAACACACTTTAGTTCCTGTTTTTTTTTTCTGGTTCTATGAACTAAGTAGACCAGACCCACTGTTTATGCATTGGTGTCTACGAGAGTTAGAGAGGGAGAGAGGAGGGGGAGCGAGAGGGGGGGGAGAGGGAGAGGAGGGAGAGAGGAAGAAGAGGGAGAGGGAGGGGGGGGGGTATATTCGTAGTCTGGTCTATTCATATGTAGGTCAGCCAAACAAAGGACCAGGGTAGAGGAGGGGAGGGGTGGTGGTGGTGGGCCAGGACATGTGGTAGCAGGCAGCAGCCACGTGCCTGTTTCAACAACAATCCAGTCAACCCTATCACACAGTACTCACACAGAGTCTGATGAACCCAGAGACCTCGCGGATTGGGGGGAGCACACAGGCAGATAGAGTGGAGAGGCAGAGACTGAGACTGAAGCGAGACATCCCACTCCCTGATTTATTTCTGGTTCATATTCAGTCTTTATTTCTGGTTCATATTCAGGCTTGAAAATTATTACAGACTACAAAGGGAAGCACAGCCGCGAGCTGCCCAGTGACACAAGCCTACCAGACGAGCTAAACCACTTCTATGCTCGCTTCGAGGCAAGCAACACTGAAGCATGCATGAGAGCATCAGCTGTTCCGGATGACTGTGATCACACTCTCAGTAGCCGATGTAAGACTTTTAAGCAGGTCAACATTCACAAGGCCGCAGGGCCAGACGGATTACCAGGACGTGTACTCCGAGCATGCGCTGACCAACTGGCAAGTGTCTTCACTGACATTTTCAACATGTCGCTGACTGATTCTGTAATACCAACGTTTCAAGCAGTCCACCATAGTCCCTGTACCCAAGAACACTAAGATAACCTGCCTAAATGACTACCGACCCGTAGTACTCAAGTCTGTAGCCATGAAGTGCTTTGAAAGGCTGGTCATGGCTCACAACACCATCATCCCAGAAACCCTAGACCCACTCCAAATTGCATACCGCCCCAATTGATCCACAGATGATGCGATCTCTATTGCACTCCACACTGCCCTTTCCCACCTGGACAAGAGGAACACCTACGTGAGAATGCTATTCATTGACTACAGCTCAGCGTTCAACACCATAGTGCCCTCAAAGCTCATCACTAAGCTAAGGACCCTGGGACTAAACACTTCCCTCTGCAACTGGATCCTGGACTTCCTGACGGGCCGCCCCCAGGTGGTAAGGATAGGTAACAACACATCTGCCACGCTCATCCTCAACACGGGGGCCCCTCAGGGGTGCGTGCACAGTCCCCTCCTGTACTCCCTGTTCACCCATGACTGCATGGCCAGACACGACTCCAACACCATCATTAAGTTTGCCGACGACACAACAGTGGTAGGCCTGATCACCGACAACGATGAGACAGCCTATAGGGAGGAGGTCAGAGACCTGACCGTGTGGTGCCAGGACAACAACCTCTCCCTCAACGTGATCAACTTCTCCGGCGCCAGAATAATGGCGCCGGAGAAGATGGCTGCCGTTTTACAGCCCTCTAACCAATAGTACTATTATGTGTGTTTTTCCGCGTTATTTGTAATTTATTTTGTACATAATGTTTCTGCCATCGTCTCTTATAACCAAAAAGAGCTTCTGGATATCAGGACAGCGATTACTCACCTCGTTATTGACGAATAATTTTTCTTCAACGAGGCAGCCGCAAAGGATATCCTACAGACACCCGACAAGGCCCAAATCCCCGTCATTCGCATGAGGAAGAGACGGAGATATCGTGGACGTAGGTCGGGGTGCCTTGTAAGGATCCGACGGCGAGCGAGTAAACTGCCGCTCCCATCAATCCTATTAGCCAATCTTCAATCATTGGAAAATAAATTGGATGACCTAAGATTACGGTTATCCTACCAACGGGACATTAAAAACTGTAATATCTTATGTTTCACCGAGTCGTGGCTGAACGACGACATGGATAACATACAGCTAGCGGGCTATACGCTACATCGGCAGGATAGAACGGCTGACTCCGGTAAGACAAGGGGTGGCGGTCTGTGTATATTTGTAAACAACAGCTGGTGCACAAAATCAAATACTAGGGAAGTCTCTAGGTTTTGCTCGCCTGAGGTAGAGTATCTTATGATAAGCTGTAGACCACACTATTTA